CCATATTTTAAAATACAATATGAATGTGTCCAATCCCCCTCCCCACAGATAAGGTAGCAAACTTCAACAATTACAGAATACACTAAAAAAATAAATAGGTAGCCCCACCTTGTAGCTCTTTGTCAGGCAAAACTACCATTGAAATCAGGGGACTTAGGTCGGTAGGATCAAGCCCTAAAATAATATATCCATTATGAATTGTCCTGGGTTTATCAAGTGACTATATAAACTAGACTGAAACCTACAGATCTGTCTCTGGAAGCAAATTTGGTGGGTTTTTTTTGCTGTTGTTGTTTTTTAAAATTAATTTAAATCTGTTCAGCTAAATTTTAAATCACAGCAGCAAAAAATAAATACACTTGAGGGTTTTCAACACTTTTGATCTGATAATCTGAACACAGCCTGCCTGCTTTAAAAATCAACATTTGGAAAAAAAATTAGTCAGAAATGTGTATAAATCACTTTTGATGATGAAAAAACAGAGTGGAACAAACATTTCCTTTTTTAAAGGATCTAATAAACATAATAATTATTTCTCATTTAAAATGTTCTAATGAATTTTATTACAGAAATAGCGTACATGCTCCCTAGATACATTGACACAATAGACACAAAGGAGTCATTTGTCAATAGTGTTAATGATACATGATCTACAACTGAATCAGGCACTCTCAGACCTGATAAATCTCATTTGAAGATAATTAATTTTTGTTTTTAATTTTGCCATTAACAATCAGGATAGAATAAAATTAACACATCTTCAAATAAAACTGCTTTAACTATGCCACTCCCATTAAACTAAGTGGGAATTCAGTAGCTAACACCCTTACAACTTTTTGGAAATTTATTGTTGGGTATCTTAAAATCACAAAGTCAAGACTTTCTGATATAAAACTGAAACCACCTAGCCCATCAGGGCCCGAGGTATTGCAAAAGCATTCCAAACAGCAAATACCAAATATGTTGCAATGTACACACAGGGACTATTTTCAGGATGAAGATTCAGTATGTTTAATTCCATCTCTTGTTAAAAACTAGATCAAAGTAATGTTTAAGATCTGATCTTAATTAAGGTTTAATATTAACAATGCACTAAAATATAAAATAATGAATTGTGTCCTATGTACCTCTTCCATACCATCAAGGATAAGAAAATAATACAAGCAACATTTCTAATAGAATAAAATGAATTGTCTATATCTTATGTACATTAGAAAGATCTTTCTTCCTGTACTAAATGAAAAAGCTTCATAATGTTGCACGAAGCAGTCGTTCTTACATAATTATAGAAAAGAACAACATATATTAGAGCTTTAAGCACAAAAGGATCTTTCAAAAAACGGTGTGGTGTGTTTTACTGGATTTATTAGGACCATAGGATACAGTTTTATTTACTAGTTCTCACCCCAGACAAGCATCAGTCAGTAGAGTCTTAGAATAATCTCATTGAAATGTCAGTGGTGTCCTCACACTCAGCAAGAAAAGGACAGGTTTCACTTAAGAGCTTTAGTGAAAGAAATCAACAGACTGCTCCATAAGAAATGACCCGCTCCAGGAGGCAATGGATCTTGTCTAAGGACGTTTCAGTACCTTCAACTTCAAACTCTTGTTGGTAGGGGACTGGAATAGCACATATCCAGAGGATCTGATTCTGACCCTTGTTTACTTGCAACCACCAGTGCTATTTAAAGTAAGCCCTACACTATTAGCATATACCCAATAAACCCATGGCCCATGCTGCAGCGCTAATCTACTGTACCTTTGTATCTCTCCAGGACATCTTCGTAAGCCTGTAGGTACTCCTGTTCTTCGGTATAGTGGTAAGCACCAGGGGAGAGGTAACCAGCCATGGCTAGAGGGTAACACTGACCAGTTCACTCCAAGGCTGCAGACAGCACGAAGCCTTGGGAACTGCAAAAAAAAAAAGGCTAGGGGGAGGAAGGAGGGGTGCTGTGCAAGCTGGCCGAGGAAACGCCCATGCCCCCTCCCGAGCGGTGTGTGAGCATGTGTGTGGCTCCAATAGCAAGGGCTTCCTCTCGGATTTCATTAGCAGCAAATCCCTGCGCTCGGCTAACGGCCTGAGAGCAGGAAGGCAGCCAGAGCTGCAGCAGCTCCAGGACACCATGGGCGCCACAGCCCGGCCACGGAGGTGACCTCCGGATCCTTCTTCATGAAGACATTTCTACCCCTCTTGATAGTTAAATCGCTCCTGGCTGATCACGCAGGGCCCGATTCTGCTGCTGGCCCCGTTTGTGCAAGTGCACTGAGGGTTTTGCCGGAATGAGAGCTGCAGCAGGAGCCCTTCCCGGAGATTGCTCCGTGTGCCCTCCCTTCCCCGGGCGTCTGGCTCCCTGTCTGGCTCTGGTTTAGCTGCCGTGTTGTGCTTGGCTCGGCGGCCCTGGCCCGGCTTTTCTCTCCAAAGCTCACTAGGGTGCCGCTAAGAAGCCGCCAGCTGCCCGGGGTCCCTCCCTCCGCGCACCCTTCTCGGGCCAGGACCTTTCCCTTGTCTCGGTTTCCATACAAACCCCCGGGAAGCCGCTTTCCCCCTCCGCCCCAGCCCGGACAGCAGCAAGCTGCCACCTCCGCCCGCACCTCTGCTCTGCCAGAGGGCCCCGTCCCCCGAGACGTGCCACGCCGGGGGGGGGGGTTTCTATTTTGAACCACCGTGGGCTGCGCAGGACAAGAGAGGCTGGCACAGCCCGCGATGCCTCCCGCGCCGCAGCGCCGGGGCGGGGGGGGAATCCCGCGGGCCGGGACCCCCCGGGTTAGGGATGCTCAGCAGCAGCGCCCATTTCCCCCTACGGCCCGGGGGACTGCGGGGCCAGGGGCTCGCTGCTGCTGCAGCAGGTGTCCCCGCCGCTCACACGCGCCGCCGTGTCAGGGAGCGCCAACTGCGCCTGCGCCTCCGGCCGGCCTCTCCCCCAGCCCCGGATCCTCGCGCCTGTCCGCGCGGGCTGGGCCCTTCTGCCCTGCCCATTGCAAAGCCTCACGGGGGCGTCGGCGCCGCGCCGCATCCCGGGCTCCCTGACCCCGCCATGCAACACCCCCGACACGCACGCGGCTTTCCCGGCCCCAGGCTCCAGACCGCCCCCTGCCTCGCAGAAATGTACAGCCGGGCTGGGCAGCTGCGCGGTGTCCAAACCATCCCCCCTCGCCATCAACTCAGAGCCCGTAGTCCGGCCCTACTCCCTGCTGCCTCCCTCACCCAGGCCGAGCGCAAGCCCCTGGGTGCTCTGCCCCCGTGGCCGGGGGGGGGGGGGGGCAGCCGCGTGGTAGGGCGTAGTCGGTTGAATTTCCGAGGACTCCTATGAGACCCACGCGGATGCCTATCTGTCTGCACGATTCCCAGCTCCCTGCTGCCTGCCTCTCCCATCTCCGGGTACCAGCAGCAGGGATCCTACGAGACCTCTCCGCCAGACACAAGGTCTGGAGAAACCTTGGCTCTGCACTGTGCCGGTGCAAATGAAGACAGAGCAGTTTTTCACACTACACCGGCTAAGGGCAGCGATTACCCAGCGGGATGGGGAGGAAAGACCTTTGGCTGCTATACCAACCATCCCCACAGAGGGTCCGAGACCCTGCATCCTCACAATCGCCCCATTAGGTGAAAACATCTTTGAAATAAACCCCGAAGAGGGAAGGGATGAGAGACAAAAAAAACAACCTCTGTGGATAACACAGATGGCCACTGCCTTTCCCCAGAATTAATTTACACGGTGTTGTCAATTTTCAGCTGGGGAGAACAAGGCATCTGCCCTGTTTCAATACCACTCGTTGCCACTGTAAGTGACCATCTACATATCAGAACACATTAGTGCCTCTCCTACATTATTCAATCGAGGGGCTCCTAAGCGGCACGGCCCCCAATGTGCCTACATGGACAAAGAGCTGTTCTACACAGACACTGTTACCACATACAACGCCTAAAAGCATATTTAGAGCCCAGCTGGATGATCCCAGCCTCTCCATTGATTTAATGTGGCCTCTCTGCCATTAAGATACAAAAGACAATTAAGTGTGCCTGTGTGTACACCGATCAAGATGTAGGCACAATGTGAAATCAGAGTTATTGCGAATGAGCCGCTCACTGCTAATGCGTTCTCACATGAAAGTTTAATGGGCGCACCTGCACATTTTTCATCCTTTTTTTCCCTTTCCCACAAGCATTAATTCACCCAACCGGAAAACATGGCCAAATAGCTCAGTCACTTCTCCACGGCCCTGCAGGATTTTTAAAGGCTATATTCACAATTCCAATGAACAACCCCCCTCGGCATAAATAATTGACATGATCTCTTTCATGCAAGCCCACGGTGTGGGCACATGCGGGGTTGGTGGGTCTCACTGGCTGCCTAGAGCCTGGTCTTACCGGCTATCCTAAGCACTGCTCTCTCGGCTGGGTCCAGCACGGAGCCGCCTTGAATTTTCCGCTTGGATCTCTCATGTTTCGGCAGGTTCCAGGGCAGCGTGTCCCCTGGTGCCGGAGACACGGAGCCAGATTTCTGGCTGAAATCATCTTCATCGGAGAAATCCGCAGAGGAAGACATGGAGCATCGGTAGGAGGCGTTTCCGGAGCTCTACAGAAAGAGAGATACACAGAAACTGCATGGATATACAACATATAGTGTGGTCGCCATACAGCCAGCCCAGTCCGCCTGGAGTGTTTTACGAACACCCCACAGAGAAATAAAAATACTGAACAAAATAGGTCGCTCACCATCGTTGTATATTTATATGGGTATGTGTGTGTAACTCCACAGATGGTACTCCCAAAATATCCTGATTTAGTGACACTGCATTTAGGAGGGTTTATGCGGAAGAAGTGTGGCCTGCGGTCAGGCAACCAGCTCACAAATGATCTCGGACTTGCCCAACAATAAACCCAGCAGCAACAAAAAGCTTCCCGGTTACAAACTGATAGCATTTGGCTCCCCCACCAGGCCAAGGAAAAGATTTACCATCACCAGGCTGCTGGTTAAATCATTAATGTAACTCTGTCTAAAAAAAACCCCCCACCAACAAACGCAGGATGCTGAGCCTTTGTTACTGCAAGTAGGTTTCCGAAACCACACCCTGGTAAGTCCCCTGTACCCGCGATCTTCCGGGACTCCCTTTTCTAGCCCTAGTTTTCTAATCAGAGTAGCCAATTCCCAGAGAAAATGCATTGATTAGGAGGGAAGGAGAGAGGATGTGTGTTTCTCCGAACGGCCTCGTCTCCAATCACTGGGTGCACAAATGGCGGTTTTCAGCAGCTCTTCGCTGAGACAGCTTCAGTAAACAAACGTTTGATCTCCGTTTATATCCTTTATGCCTGTTTATCTTTTCTAATAAACAGAGTAGACAGCAGCTACGCAGAACCGGATCACTGCCGGGAATAAAAATGATGCAGTGCAGGGACATGAACCGGCGGTGCCATTTCTGGATTCCCTACCCTGTTAGAGGAAGTGGGAAAATGAGATGCTTAAATGGTGGCAGTTTAGTCTACACTTGGTGATTTGGTAAACAAATCTTCAGGATCGACCCTCGCACACAAGTGCTGGGGAGCTGATGCGGGATCGTGTGCCTTCCTATTTGTTTCTCTGCATTTCCTGCTTGAGGATGTTTGGGGCTTTGCCAGTGCACCTGGTTGGAAAACAATGGCTATACTTGCTGATTCAAGATGGAGATTTACAATAGTCCTTGCGTTGTGTAATCTGGCTCCAACCCAGGGTATGATTTTAGTGGCAGTAATTTTTCGTGGCATGTTATTCTCAATCTGGTTTGTTATATATTAGTATTCTTTATTTTGTAGAGTCCATTTTCAGCCCTTCTAGACTCCAGTGTTTCTTGGATCAGGAAACTGTGACGATATAAATGCCTGCTAATATTTTCAACTTGGGGTTTTTTTGGACGCCTGCCTCCTCTAGAAGGGCTTGAGATGTGCCCCTATTGAATTAAAACATAATTTATTGCGGCTCAATTATTATTGGTGATAATTTTTCTTTCACGTTCTGAACTGTTTTTCCATGGTTTTCACTGTAATCATGCATTGGTTGACGAGATATATTATTATTAGATTGGCATTTTAGGTATCTTTTAAAAATCAAAACTGCACAACCCAGAATCATAAATGATTGAATAATGCAATGAAAATGTTATGCTACAGCCTAAATTGCAATCCTACACAGTTAAATAATCCTCTTAATAAAGGGTGAACAAACATCAGTGGGTGATCATATTCAAGTGTACTCTAGTTCCCTTTTCTATCATTGTACAGGTCCATCTGTTAACTTACAGAAAAAATACTGAATTCAAAACAATAATTTTGAACAGTTCTCTCACTAAATTCTTGCATTGTTCACCAAAACATGATGGTGTAAGAAACTGAACAGTGCTGGGAGTCAGAAAGCTTCAAAGATCTAATCAGAGCTATGATTCTCTGTCTAACTGGTGTTGGTGCAGGGGAAATCCTGTAGTACTGATGGAAAATGGAATTCTTCCCAAAAGGACACAGAGTAGAGGTACGGGTGCCCTACCCCTACCGTTTATGTGCACCCCTTGCAGGGGTAAGGAGGTTTAGTCAATTCTTGGCAGACAAGAGGTTTAATAGATAATGTTGTGTCCACATGAGTTCAGTTTCTCCTGGCCTGACCTTAGCTTCAAAGACTTTTCTGAAACTAACAAGAAAAGAAGTCCTCAAGGGCCTCAGCTCCATGGTTTCCAACTAGCCATGTCCATCATGCATGGGGTCCATATATCCCATTCCCCCTACACACATTGGGCCTTCACCAGTTTCTGCAGCGGTTTCAGCTTCCTCACACAGCTGTGGAGAAGGGGAGAGGATTGACCCCAGGCTGGATAGACTTAAATCACTTATTTTAATAATTAATTAAATCAAAAAGCAGGAAATCTTGATTTTGATCTTTGATTGTAATCATATTGTACATTTGTACTTTTTAGTTATATTGCAAATGAAAGGTTGATTCTCATTGGTTGCTAACCACTAAAACATGTCGATTTGCAACTAAATATAACATTTACACTAAATTTGGTACTTCTCTTTGATAACCAGGAGGATAAACATTTATTTAAGGTTTCAAGAGTAGCAGCCATGTTAGTCTGTATTCGCAAAAAGAAAAGGAGTACTTGTGGCACCTTAGAGACGAACAAATTTATCTGAGCTACAGCTCACTTCATCAGCATTTATTCAGATGCTTAATTTTTACATTTTTATGATGTTACAAAATGGTGAATGATTAATTTTTTGTGTCCCAGATGACAATTATTATCTGTAATTTTTGTCAAGTTTTATTTGGCTAGAAATTCAAATTCAGTTTAAATTGCTGTTTTTGTGCACTTTAATTTTTAAATTAAATAAACTATCCTAAATGTGCTGAATATATAAACTTTTTTTCTCAGAATATGATTTGCGTTTAAACCTGAGTTATTAACCAAAGGAAATATTATCTGTAATTAGTGAATTGAAAAGATTGTTTCTGGTCACCATGTGCTTCAAGATTTTAGAACTAGTATATCTCATCCTCTCATAGACTGGAAGAGGAAAACAAGCTTTCCCGCTTTCTCAACTTCCAATTGGTTTCTTAACTATGAAAGGGGAACTACACAAAAATGGGGAAGCTAGTTAAACAGAAATTAAACGGAACAGTACAAGAGTGAAATGCCTGCAAACTGCACAGAAACTATTTGAAAATACCATAACAGAGGCACAAACTAAATTTATACCTCAGATTAAAAAAAACAGTAAGAAGATTTTTTAAAATGCCACCATAGCTAAATAAAAGAGTAAAAGAGGCAGTGAGAAGGCAAAAAGGCATCCTTTAAAAATTGGAAGTCAAATCATACCGAGGACAATAGAAAGGAGCATAAATTCTGGCAAGTCAAGTGTAAAAGCATAATTATCCAGGCCAAAAAAAGTATTTGAAAAGCTATTAGCAAAAAACAACAAAAACTAACAACAACAGTTTATTTAAAATATGCCAGAAGCAGGAAGCCTCTCAAACAATCAGTGGACCCACTGCACCCTCAAGGAACATTCAAGGAAGATAAGGCCATTGCAGAGAAAGTAAATTAATTCTTAACATCACTCTTCACTACAGAGGATGTGAGGGAGATTCCCACACCTGAGCCATTCTTTTTAGGTGACAAATCTGAGGAACTGTCCCAGACTGAAGTGCCAGTAGAGGACGTTTTGGAACAAATTGATAAATTAAGCAGTAATATGTCACTAGGACCAGATGATATTCACCCATGAGTTCTGAAGGAGCTCAAATATGAAATTGCAGAACTACTAACTGCGAACTACTATTGTATAAATCAGAGGACTGGAGGATAGCTAATATAACACAATTTTTTTTAAAGGCTCCAGATGCAATCCTGCCAATTACAGGCTGGTAAACCTAATTTCAGTACCAAGCAAATTGGTTGAAACTATAGTAAAGAACAGAATTATCAGACACATAGATTAACATGATATGTTGACGAAGAGTCAATATGGCTTTTGTAAAGGGAAATCATGCCTCACCGATCTATTACAAGCAGCAAAGAGTCCTGTGGCACCACAGGACTCTTTGCCGCTTTTACAGATCCAGACTAACACAGCTACCCCTCTGATACAATCTATTACAGTTCTTCAAGGGGCTAACAGGCATGTGGACAAGGGTCATCCAGTTGATATAGTGTACCTGGTCTTTCAGAAAGTCTCTGACAAGGTCCCACACCAAAGGCTCTTAAGCAAAGTAACCAGTCATGGGATAAGAGGGAAGGTCCTCTCATGGATCAGTAACTGGTTAAAAGATAGGAAACAAAGGGTAGGAATAAACGGCTAATTTCCATTATGGTGAGAGGTAAATAGTGGGGTCCCCCAAGGATCTGTATTGGGGTCAGTGCTGTTCAGCATATTCATAAATGATCTGGAAAAGAGGTGCAGATAGTACAAAATTACTAGGGCTGTAAATTAATTTCAGTTAATTCAAGCAATTAACTCAAAACAAATTAACCTGATTTAAAAATTAATCACAGTTTTAATCACACTGTTAAACAATAACAGAATGCCATTTATTTAAATATTTTGGATGTTTTTATGTGTTCAAATATATTGATTTCAATTACAACACACAATACAAAGTGTACAGTGCTGACTTTATATTATTATTTTATTACAACTATTTGCACTGTAAAAATGATAAAAGAAATAGTATTTTTCAATTCACCTCATACAAGTGCTGTAATGCAATCTCTTTATTGTGAAAGTGCAACTTACAAATTTAGATTTTGTTGTTGTTACATAACTGCACTCAAAAACAAAACAATGTAAAACTTTAGAGCCTACAGGTCCACTCAGTGCTGGATATACTAAACATTCATATGCCCCTTAATGCTTCAGCCATCATTCCAGAGGACATGCTTCCATCCTGACGATGCTCATCAGAAAAGCAATGCGTTAATAAAATTTGTGACTGAACTTGGGGAAGAATTGTATGTTTCCTGCTCCGTGGTTTTACCTGCATTCTGCCATATATTTTGTGTTACGGGAGTCTCAGATGACAACCCAGCATAGGTCGTTTGATTTCAGAACACTTTCATTAAAGATCTGACAAAACACAAAGAAAGTACCAATATGAGATGACTAAAGATAGCTACAGCACTCGACCCAAGGTTTAAGCATCTCTAGTGCCTTCCAAAATCTGAAAGGGATGAGGTGTGAAATATCCTGTCAGAAGTCTTAAAAGAGCAACACTCCAATTCAGAAACTATAGAACCTGAACCACTAAAAAAGAAAATCAACCTTCTGTTGCTGACATCTGACTGAGATGATGAAAATGAACACGCATCAGTCCACACTGCTTTGGATCATTATCGAGCATAATCCATCATCAGCATGGAAGCATGTCCTCTGGAATGGTGGTCGAAGCATGAAGGGGCATACATAAATACCTTGCAACGCCAGCTACAGCAATGCCATGTGAACGCCTAGTCTCACTTTCAGGTGACATTGTAAATAAACAGGCAGCATTAACTCCTGTAAATGTAAACAAACTTGTTTGTCTTAACGATTGGCTGAACATGAAGTAGGACTGAGTGGGCTTGTGGACTCTAAAGTTTTACATTGTTTTATTTTTGAGTGCAGTATTATGTAAAACAAATTAATTCTACATTTGTAAGTTGCACTTTCACGATAAAGAGATTGCACGACAATACTTGTATGAGGTGAACTGAAAAATACTATTTCTTTTATTTATCTTTTTTACAGTTATTTGTAATCAAAAATAATAATATAAAGTGAGCACTGTACACTGAAGACAGAGGATGACCCTGAGCCACAGGTATACCTTAAGGGGAGTGTAGGAAATAGCGCAGGGACAGTAGACTATGTCTAGCTGTCGTTGCAGGAATCCAGGTCAGCACGTTTCGGCTAAATCCCCACTGACCCAGTGGCAGAACAGTCTGCCACTGTAAGGGCCTTGTGCTGGGTCCTGGTGTAGTAGGCTGGGCCCAGATTCACCTATTCCTCTGCTGCCAATCCCACTTTTGGGGTGGCAGCCTCCCCACTCTAGGCCAAGAGGCATACTTTGTCTGCTGTCCGCAAGAGATAGAACATCATGATAAAGAGATTGGACTATAGTACTTGTGTTTTTCAATTCACTTCATACTGTTTTACCTTTTTTACGTGCAAATATTTGAATTCAAAAATAATATGAAGTCAGCACTGTACACTTAGAATTCTGTGTTGTAATTGAAATCAATATATTTGAAAATGTAGGAAACATCCAAAAATACTTAAATGAATGGTATTCTATTATTGTTTAACAGCGCAATTAAAACTGCGATTAATCGTGTGACAGCCCTAAAAATTACTCAAGATAGTTAACTACAAAACTGCCCGTGAAGAGTTACAAAGGGATCTCACAAAATAGAGTGAACGGGCAACAAAACTGGTTCCAGAAAGTACTTATCAGTGGTTCACAGTCAAGCTGGAAGGGCATATCAAGTAGGGTCCTGCAGGGATTGGTCCTGAATCCAGTTCTGTTCAATATCTTCATCAATGATTTAGATAATGGCATACAGAGCACACTTATAAAGTTTGCAGACAATACCAAGCAAGGAGGGGTTGCAAGTGCTTTGGAGGATAGGATTAAAATTCAAAATGATCTGGACAAACTGGAGAAATGGTCTTAAGTAAATATGATGAAATTCAATATGGACAAATGCAAAATACTCCACTTAGGAAGGAACAATCAATTGCACACAAAAGGGGAAATGACTGCTTAGGAAGGAGTTCTGTGGAAAGGGATCGGGGGTCACAATAGATCACAAGCTAAATATGAGTCAGCATGTAATACTGTTGCAAAAACAACAAATATCATTCTAGGATGTATTAGCAGGAGCGTTGTAAGCAAGACACAAGAAGTAATTTTTCTGCTCTAGTCTGCACGGATAAGGGCTCAACTGGAGTATTTTGTCCAGTTCTGGGCACCACATTTCAGGAAAGATGTGAACAAACTGGAGAAAGTCCAGAGGAGAGCAACAAAAAATTATTAAAGGTCTAGAAAACATGACTATGAGGAAAGATTGAAAAAACCTGAGTTTGTTTAGTTTGCAGAAGAGAAGACAGAGGGAACATGGTAACAGTTTTCAAGTACATAAAAGGTTGTTAGAAGGAGGAAGGAGAAAATTTTTGGCATTAACCTCTGAGGATAGGACAACAAGCAATGGGGTTTAATTGTGGCATGGGAGGTTTAGACTGGACATTAGGAAAAACTTCCTAACTGTCAGGGTGGTTAAGCACTGGAATAAATTGCTTAGGGAGGTTGTGGAATCTCCGTCATTGGAGGTTTTTAAGAGCAGGTTAGACAAATACCTGTCACGCAGAGACGGATTAATGTCTCCTGGGGCCCTGATCCGGAGCAAGTGGGGGCCTTGGCACCAGAACTGTGGCCTCGTCCCATCCCTTGGGTCTGTGGTCCTGCTCCTATTCTGCCCACTTTCACCTACAGCCCCAGCCCCTTCTACTCCTTCCCCTGCAGCCATGACCCCACCCCGTTCCGCCCCTTCCCCCACTCACTCCTTTCCAGCCCCCATCGCTGCAGCCCCGAGACTAAAGAAGCTCAGCGCCCCCACTGCAACTCCAGGGCTGCAGGAGGGGGAGACTTTTCCGGGTGCCCTAAATTGGCACTGAACCCTGGCCACTGGCCCCATTGGCCCATGTGATAATCCCCCACTGCTGTCAGGGATAGTCTAGAATACTTAGTCCTGCCTTGAGTGCAGGGGACTATACTGGAAGACCTCTTGAGGTCCCTTCCAGTCCTAAATTTCTATGATTCTATGAAAATGGCAGATTAAATTTAACGTTGATAAATGCAAAGTAATGCACACTGGAAAAAATAATCCCAAATTTTCTTACAAAATGATGGGATCTAAATTAGCTATTACCACTTAAGAAGGAGATCTTGGAGTCATCGTTGATAGTTCTCTGAAAACATCTGCTCAGTGTGCAGCAGCAGTCAAAAAAGCTAACAGAATGTTAGGAACCATTAGAAGAGAGAGAGATAATAAGACCAAAAAATACCATAATGCCACTATATAAATCCATGGTATGCCCACACCTTTAACACTGCATTCAGGTCTGGTCGTCCCAGCTCAAAAAAGATTAAAATTGGAAAAGGTACAGAGAAAGGTAACAAAAATGATTAGGGGTGTGGAATAGCTTCCATGTGAGGAGAAATTAAAAAGACTGGGACTGTTCATCTCAGAAAAGAGACAATTAAGGGGGACTATGATAGAGATCTATAAAGTTTTGAATGGTGTGGAAAAAGTTAAGAAGGAAGTGTTATTCACCCCTTTGCATAACACGAGAACCAGGGATCACCCAATGAAATTAGTAGGCAGCAGGTTTAAAACTAACTAGGGCTGTCAATTAACGGATGAAATTAACTTAAAACAAATTAACGCATTTTTTTTTAAACAAGAGTTACTGACACACCTCTGGAGATGGGACTAGGTGGCGGCCCGGTGGGGAGGGAGGCACTGGTTGTGGCAGCCAGCAGGAGGCAGCCAGACACAAGAGACTCCATAATATGCAGACCAGATGCGCTCCCTCCCCCCACAACGATCTATTGATATGAGGGGAGGGGTAAGGGCAATAGCCAGCAGTCACAAGGTCGCAAAGCAGGGAAAAGGCACTTTAGAACTACTGCCACAGGACCCCATCCCTGGGTGTCTCTAGCCATCTCCCCCTCTTCCTGCTGCACTTATCAATCATGACCCAGTCCTCCAGTCTGTGGGTGATTTGGGAGAGTCAGTTAAAAGCCTTCCAGGGGGGAGAGAGGAGACCAGCCCCTCACCACCTGCACCATCCCCTCCCTGCTGGACACGGCTGGGCTTAGGTGTGGGTCTGGGGGGCCACCACCCAGGGAGCGCCACTGCTGCCTCTGGGGCAGAGGTGCCTCTTCTCCCACTGCCCTGCTCCATTGCTGCTCTGCCTCCTCCCCGCCCCTGGAGCCGCCCCTGGCCAAGTTGCTCCAGACCAAGAATCTGCCTCCTGTCTGCTGCGTAGAGTGGGAGCAGGAGGTGGAAGGGGCTGATGTCAGGGTATTTCCCCCCCCCCCCCCCCCCATTTACCCAGTTGCTGCTGAGCTGGGCTCCGGGAATAGGGTGAGTCTGTCTGCTGCTGCTGCTGGCTCAGGAGTGAGTGCTGCTGACACCAGCTGCGGCTGGCTGAAAAAGCGTTCAGGCTCCTGAGTGCTCTGCTTAAAGAGACAGGGCTCCCCTAACACACACTTTCCCCTCCTCCTCACACACACACACACACACACACACTCATGCCAAACCAGAATTTGAAATGGCACCCCCGGTGAGGCAGGAGTGACCACAGGGCTGCGACATGGCCATGGGTAACAATATGGAGCCCACCTTGAGCTGCAGGCTGAGTGCCAGGCACCATGAGCCACAGCAGAAGTGCAGAAGTAAGGGTGGCAATACACCATATACCATGCCACCCTTACTTCTGGGCTTCTGCTGGCAGCAGCATTGTCTTCAGAGCTGGGTGCCCAGCCAGCACCTGCCGCCCAGCCAGTGCTTAATTTGGACCAGGACTGAGCCCTGCCACCTCTTTCAATACAAATTAAGCACTGGGGGGAGGCAGCAGGGCCTGCAGGTAATGGGGGTTGGAGAACCCCTGCGGACCAGGGGTAACGGAGGGATGGGGAGCCCATGGGTGCCAGGGTAATGGGGGGATGCCCATGGCGGCCAGGGGCACCAAAATACAAGTACACCCAGGGTGCCATTTTCCCTAAGGCTGGCCCTGCTGCTGAAGGGGACTGCTCAGGACTCCTGAGAGGGGGAAGTGAGGAGTACCACATAGAGAACAGCGTGAGCTCAGCCTCCCGGCATCAGCCTCTCCTCCTCTGGCACATGCCAAGTCCCTGCAGTAAAATCCACCCTCCCTTGCAGACAAGGGCTCACTCAGCTGAACGGAGTCTACCTAGTTCTCTAAAAGCAGGGAAGCCTGATGAGCCCAGTATCAGAAATCACCCTTCCAGAAGCAGCAGCAGGACACCTCCCTCCTTCTCCTCCTGCACAAGTGATTACTTGCTTCCTCCCTGTCCTTTTCTCCTCCTCCCCAGTCCACCCTTCCTGTCCCCCCGAACAATGAATGCAGATTTCTAAGATGAAACTCTTCCTCTTTGGACAGGAGGTGAGCCTGACAAGCTCAGAAGAAACCCAACCCAACAGGAGCAGCATCAAGAATCCACCCTTCTCCTGCACAACTCACACCTCTCCCAGCTCCAGAATACTGACTTTCTCAGATAAAAATCTTACCCCTTCAAGGAGCCAAGACTCCTGTAAAGGAGACACATACAAAATAGTATATATAAATAATAAAGGCTAATCCAGCAGCAGCAGGGGAAAAAAGCCTCCTGCACAATTCACTCCCCTACTGAATGCTAAAATCCTGAGGTAAAATCTTTCCATATCAACAGCAAAGACACAAATATATATTGATTATATAGAATTTATTGAATTATTCCAGACATTGGCACAGTTTTACTGTGTTCTTGTGCTCCTGAGTGATTAAATATCAGAAAAAGTTAATGGAGCAAAGCAGCAAAAGATCAGGTCTTTTGAATGGGAGGTTTATTTTTAAAAAATTTTCAGATGGTTCTCTGGATAAAAGAACAGTTATCTGTAGCTATTGCAAGGCTGAGTTCCAATACCATCGAAGTACTTCAAGTCTGCAGTATCACCTACGTGCTAAACATGCTTTTGCCTCCAGTTCTTGTGCTACAGATAACCCACCAACAGCAAATGAATCCATCCAGCCGCAACAGAGTACGCTTGCAGAGTTTCAGGATCGCTACAAGCCCATGGATCAAACAAAGTACAACACCTTAACCAATGCTATTGCAAAGTGGATAGCTATGGACTGCAGACCACTCAACATTGTAAATGACAGAGGGCTAAGAGATGTTATTCAAATTGCATCTTCCAATCAGTTATACACCTTGCCCTCTGAAGGAACCATTGCATCACGAATACATGATCTATATAACAACGAGAAGACTACCAAGTTGGAGCTTTTGAAAAATGCACTAGCTGTTGCTTTGACTGGTGATCACTGGACATCCTTGAGCAATCACAGCTATCTTGGAGTCACAGCACACCTGATTGATGCTTCATGGACACTGCAGTCATTTGCTTTAACAGTAATGCATACTGAAGAGAGACATGCTGAATCATGTGCAGAGTGTTTCTTGGATGTTGCAAAAGAATGGAATATTCAGGAAAAAGTAACAACAATTAGTACTGACAGTGCACATAATATGATAGCAGCAGACAACTGTTTGCCTTTTGAACACATGACATGTATCGCTCACAGTCTGCAACGATCCATTACAGTCGCGCTCAGTGATGGTGGTTTTGAAAACATACTGGAAAAATGTAGAAAACTTGTGGGCCATTTCAAACACAGTCCAATAAACAGTACAGAGCTAGGAATACAACAAGCTGCAAAGGGACAGAAACAAGAACCTCTTGTTCAAGATATTTCATCCAGATGGAACTCCACATTGGGTATGGTTCAGCACCTGCTTTGCAATAAAGCTGCTATCACAGCCACATTAGCTCTTCAAAAGCAAAAACTATCAGTGCCAACAAGTAAGGATTTCGAAAAACTGCAAAAGCTAGAAACACTACTTGAGCCCTGCAGGTTTGTGACTGAACTCCTTGGGGGAGAATTGTATGTCTCCTGCTCTGTGGTTCTACCCGCATTCTGCCATATATTTAGTGTTATGGAAGTCTCAGATGACGACCCAGAATATGTTATTCAGTTTAAGAACGCTTTCACTGCAGATCTGATAAAACACAAAGAAGGTACCAATATGAGATTTCTAAAGATAGCTACAGCACTTGACCCAAGGTTTAAGCATCTGAAGTGCCTTCCAAAATCTGAACGGGATGAGGTTTGGAACATGCTGTCAGAAGTCTTAAAAGAGCAACACTCCAATGCGGAAACTACAGAACCTGAACCACCAAAAAAGAAAATCAACCTTCCATTGGTGGCAGATGATGAAAATGAGCATGCATCAGTCTGCACTGCTTTGGATCGTTATCGAGCAGAACCTGTCATCAGCATGAAAACATGTCCTCTGGAATGGTGGTCGAAGCATGAAGGGGCATACGAACATTTAGCATATTTGGCACGTAAATACCTTGCAACGCCGGCTACAGCAGTGCCATGTGAACGCCTGTTCTCACTTTCAGGTGACATTGTAAATAAGAAGTGGGCAGCATTATCACCCGTAAATGTAAACAAACTTGTTTGTCTTAGCGATTGGCTGAACAAGAAGTAGGACTGGGTGGACCTGTAGGCTCTCAAGTTTTACATTGTTTTATTTTTGAGTGTAGTTATGTAAAAAAAAAAATTATACATTTTCGCAATAAAGAGATTGCACTACAGTACTTATATGAGGTGAATTGAAAAATACTACTTCTTTTGTTTATCTTTTTTACAGTGCAAATATTTGTAATCAAAAATAGTAATATAAAGTAAGCACTGTACACTTTGTATTCTGTGTTGTAACTGAAATCAGTATATTTGAAAATGTAGAAAACATCCACTTAATCGCACTGTTTAACAGTGCGATTAAAACTGCAATTAACTGCAACTATTTTTTTCATCTCGTGATTAATAGCAATTCATTTTTTTAATAATTTCACAGCCCTAAAACTAACATAAGGAAGTACTTCTTCACACAATGCACTGTCAACCTGTGGAAATCGTTGCCAGAGGATGTTTTCAGGGCCTATAGTGAGAGGGCATGGCCACTCTCCGAGACTGACAGGGAGGAACCCCTTTCCACCCCTCTGGAAGCAGAGGGGTAAGGACAAGAAGTAAAATGGTGGGGCCTGAAGCTCAGTTGGGTTGGATCCGCTGGAGGTGATGGATGCCTCTCGTCCACTGCTGTGTATCGAGCCAGACAGAGACTGCTACAGTGCCGAGGACCTGGAGAAGTTGCCAAAGCTGTCTGCCGCCAGGGACGCCAAGGAGCTGCTAGGACTGCCATTACCCCAGGGAGATTGCGGACGACCCCGAGCCACAGATACACTTTAAGGGCATGTAGGAAGTTGCCCTGGAACACTAGACTATCGTCTGGTTGTGTCGTTGCCTGAATCCAGGTCAGCATGTTTCAGCTGAATCCCCACTGATCCAGTGGCTGAACTCTACGCCACTGTTAGGGCCCTGGGCTGGGCCCAGGTTCCCCTACTCCTCTGCTCCCAATCCCACCCTTGGGGTGGCAACCTCCCCACTCTAGGCCAAGAGGCCTGTGTTTGTCTGCTGTCCGCAAGAGCCAGAACATCAGGACGTGTGTTTTGTACTCTGCTCTGCCTGAGGGCCTGAGCCCCCTTCACTGTTTGGTGCCCCACCCTGCCTGACGGCCTGAGCTCATTAGACTTTCTGCCCTGCCCCACCTGAGACCATGGCCCTGGACTGCTTGTCACCTGACCTGGCTAGACACCCAGGGTCTTAGAGACTGTTAATTGCCCCAATAACCCTTGCCTTGGTAGGGACCCGAGCCCGAGGGGGTGTGGCCTCTTTCCAAGACTGAAGGGAAGGGATGGCCACACATTCCTACAGAGCTAAAAGTATAACTGAGTTAAAAAAATTAGATAAGCTCACAGAGGATAAGTCCATCAATGGCTACTAGCCAAGATGGTCAGGGACGCAACTGCATGCTCTGGGTATCCCTAAACTTCTGACTGCCAGAAGCTGGAACTGGATGACAGGGGATGGATCAATCCCTCAATAACTGCTCTGTTCTATTCAGTCCCTCTGAAGCATCTGGCACTAGCCACTGTCAGAAGACAGGATACTGAGCTAGATGGACCATTGGCCTGACCTTAGTATGGCCATTCTTACGTTCTTAGTGAACACGTAATTGAACTGAACCAGATGAATAAACTGAAATGTTTAAAATATTTTCTCTACACTTACTGTCAAAAACAGGTTCAGTACTTCAAAAACCTGTGGTTCCAGGTTCTTAACCAATGATTTCCACCAGTTTAGTGTGTTGTATTTCTTCAAAACTTGACAGCAAACGTGTACTGATCAATATTATTTTCGCATTTAATTGCAGGCCTGACTTGACATAAGTATCTTGCTTCACTTCTTAATGGGCATCATTGGGAAGGTTAAGTTGCCATAACAATCATTATGCTGGAGTCAGGATAGCTAGCTAAGATCAGCAGGAACATCCTGGTATTAATAAACGAGTCTAAATGTAAGATAAGGTAGAGGTCAGATCATGCATGAATGCATGGAAAGAGCATGCTGTACAGGGATTGGTTTCTACAAAGTAACCAAGTCAATCCCAAAATGTGATGCACAGTATAGTAAATGCAATGTGATGTGTACATGTATATAAAGGAAGAGGTTTTCTGTGTAACTTTGGATGTGTGGTATGCCCTATACCCACCTCCTACACTTGAGTCTGAGCAACACAGCATAGCTTTGCTGTATGCCAAATAAAAATACCTGTGTGATGAAACGTGGAGTTGAACTGGAGTTTTTGGGTAGCCAACTGGAAAGAGGTTTTGGAGGGAATCCCAACATTAATGTAAATTATTTTAAAAGATTTTAAAAAGTTTAGACCTTAACATAGGTTGCAACTTCACATTTAATTTTAAATACTTAAATTTTTCAAAATCCAATTTAAATTACAAAATCCCCAATTTATATTAAAAAAGTCAAATTTTTTTAGATCATCGGTTTTTATCATCCTGATTTCACTCTTAATTTCTCTGCCTCATAGTCCTTATTTCTCATTTATAATCTCAAATGTGTTGTAAGGATTATAGTATTTTTGTTACTGTTTGTACCGCGCTTGAAATATAGGTGCTATGAATATTTATTATTATTTGATTATATTAATTATTATTATAGCTGCTTTCTGGAAAAAAAAGCTCTAACTCATTGCTGAGTTACTGTCTTCCTGCTAATCCCACGGGGTTCTCTGTTTCCCAGACTGAGCCCTGACAAATTTTTCAGTTTTTCTCTGCTTCAAAACCCGAACCCTTAAGGCCCTAAATAATAATAATAATAATACCTTTTAGAGTTCCTTCCATCCTTAGAGATTAGAAACGTTGCTCCCTCCCCCCATGTCACTGAAACGTATCCACTCCTGGGGTGAAACATGGCAGTCATCCTGCACTGGTAACCCTACAGTGGAGGCAGAGCACCCATGTAAGGAGGGTCCAACCCTTTCAGCTATGGAGATGAACAGGTGGGGGCATGGCACCCTTTGCATGTCTTCTGATTAGCTGTCCTTCAGCAAGTGCATGTATTTTATCTCATTAGCATATAAACTCTTCAGGACAACTGTCCTATTACTGAAGTGACCATATTTTCAAAATAAAACTGGGATGACTGGGGGAAAGGATTTGTCTAGGTATTAGAACAGTCCTACAAATGTACACCTATAAATGTGTGCTGGTCTGGTATTGCTACTGCTAGTTTCTGACTCAACAGCAACATATGCTTATTTCTCAGTATGGAGAATTTTTTTCCAGTACTGGTTTTCTGAGGGAGTTTATCATGAAACACTGACCAAGTGTCTAACATTTTCTTTGAGAAAAAGAACAGGTTTGATAGGAGTCTACACTCATTCAACTTTTCCCTTCACCCCAGCCACTGTTCATCAAACTCAAAAGTCATTCCACTGGACTGTTTGTTCCCAGCAAGCACATTCTCCTTGGCATAGCAATAAGTCTTAAATAAACATTTTGTAGGTATGATGAAAAAGTGATACAATAAAAAAACCCAGCATATTTCAGGTGTCCTGAAAGAAGTTCCTTGGACATCAGAACAGTATATGAAAAATCAGGATGTCCTATCAAACCAAAATATATAGTCACTTTAGTTATTATGTATCTGTAAAACACCTTGCTCTACACAACTGAGAAACAATAATTATAATAATACACAATATTTTAGGCAGGTGAGTGAAGAACCTTAGGATTTCCATTAAAATATTGACGATGAACATCCCTGCTCAACTTAGTTTTAGAGATTTAATGAGGACCAGGGCCTGACCCTGCTTAGCTTGAGAGCTGATGGGGTCACAGACCAAGATGATACTGCTGTTTTATTCTATGCCTCTGATTATGCATTCATTCTGCTCATTAGACTGAAGGCTTATTTGTGGTGTCTACTGTTGAACAGTGGTGAAATACTGAATTAGCATAGCTCTCATTATATATCTAACTCCTTACACATCCAATTCTGTAGTCCATGCACAGGCAAATCTAATAGGAGTTCTGCTTGCATTAGAAGCGCATGGTTGATCTCAGTGGGTCCATACACCTTCACTACCACAGGTGGATGCAAACTGCACACACAAATTCTGGGCAGCTGCTTCCCATGTGGGATTGTCTCAGGGTTAACAAGCATTTAAGCATTCAATTCTCAGCTCTGAGCTGTGCCTGAGTTCTTCTCTGAAACCATGTGACTAAGAACAACTGACTGAGAGCCAGGTCTGCTGGGACATATAAAAGGAAGCCTGTTTTCAGTAAGGGAGAGGGCTGTAAGGAGTTTTCCTGTAACCAGGGTTTGGGGAAAGGCTCCCTGTGGGGCAGAAGCATGAGACAGAGCCTGGGCAAGGCCTTACAGAGGACTGCTTGAGAAAGGCCAGATAAAAGGTCTAACCATAGAGGGGTACTGTTGCAAGTGGCTCTAGGAAACTATACAGCAAGGTAATCTTGGGTTTAGGACAGACCCCAAGATTTAGGGTCCAGGGCTGTGGCTTGTAGATCAATGCCTCATAATGCCCACAGGCAGGTAGTGCAGAAACCTCTGCCCTGAGGGTCAAAAAAAACTATCTGCTAAAGGAGGACAAGCCAATTGAGCTAGCCCCTAAAGGTAGAAGAACTTGTTTCATTTGGATTTGCCTTCATCTGGGCTCTTTTTTTCCCTCTGGAAGGGAGGTCCAAAGCATCAAAATTACCAAAATCCATTTAACCAGCCACAGAGAAACTGAGGCACCGTAGCACCAAACGTTAGAGAGAGAAACTGCACACTCAATGATTAGCCTTCCAAAAAGAAGGGGGGTTATGCACTGCTATTCCAGTGGGGATTCTGTTAGGGGAGAGCAGCTTTTAATTCTGGCTGACTGAAGCTGTCCAGGGACTGTATTGAATCAATGCAAGCATCCCATCCTTTGGGAGTGTCACTGCTTCTGGAGTTGTGCTGGCTCAAGGCTCATTATGGAGCAGGTACTGTATGCATTTTGCACCTTCACAGCCTTCCTCCGAACAGACTTTCCACCGTTGGGGGACCCTTCATGCAGCGTGAGGCTGTCGGTTATCAGCTGAAAGCACAGCTATACGCTGCCGTTCACTCCGGGCTGAGGCTAAAACTTTAATCTAGTCCTGTATTATTTATATTTCAGTAATATTGAACTAACGGGGAATCACTAACACTTTTTTTAATTTTGCCTTTATTTTGTCAAGTTCTTTAAGGGCAATAGATAAGTACGACCAGAAATAAAGGAATGAAACAGATAAAAGGAATTGTGAAATAAAAATTAATATTTGAATAATAATTTTAGGGAATTAATATATTTTCATAATTCTCCTGTTTGGAGGATAGTGAGTCTGTTAACATTCGATAAGTTACTTTTGTCCATTTTTATTTTAATTGAGATCTCAAACTGAGAAATGTCTGCTAAAGTAGCTTAATAAATATAAGATGAGACCAAGAAGGACTGAGTGTTCCTGATGTTAAATATTTACCACATAAATCCTGGTTGTGATAGGGTGATGCAAAGTACAAAACAGCAAATGTGTATGATCAGCTCTTGTGAACCACCTGGAAATGCCTGGTGTCAGGAATAATTACAGTGCAAACAAGGGCTACAAACAGGCGTAATGTAAAACCAATGGTCTTGTTCTCAAAAAAGCATAATAAAAACACTGAGTAGAAAAACTTCACATATTAGAGACCCAATCACGTTATATGAATATCCATCTATTTTTCTTCCATATGTGTGTCCTGATCATTGTAACGGACATCCAGACACAGAGTGGCTCAGGATCAGGCCATATAGATCTGTCTACAGATTTTTCCATTTTATTCAATAAAGCAACAAGCAGAAAGACAGAAGGAAAAAATGCTAAAATTAAAATTCATAAATATCAATGGCCTAATTCAACATTAAATTACTTTCATGTCCACTTAGGCTCACCAGCCATATGGGCAAATTACTGTTCAGTAGAGGGAATTTACTATCTCCTTTTCTAATGGCAACAGGACTGCGGCACATGACTTACGAGGAGAAGCTGAGGGAACTGGGGTTATTTAGTCTGTAGAAGAGAAGAGTGAGGGGGTATCTGATAGCAGCTTTCAAATACCTGAAGGGGGGTTCCAAAGAGGATGGAGTGAGGCTGTTCTCAGTGGTGGCAGATGACAGAACAAGGAACAATGGTCTCAAGTTGCAGTGGGGGAGGTCTAGGTTGGATATTTGGAAAAACTATTTCACTAGGAGGGTGGTGAAGCACTGGAATGGGTTACCTAGGGAGGTGGTGGAATCTCTATCCTTAGAGGTTTTTAAGGCCCCGCTTGACAAAGCCTTGGCTGGGATGATTTAGTTGGTGTTGGTCCAGCTTTGAGCAGAGGATTGGACTAGATGACCTCCTGATGTCTCTTTGAACCCTAATATTCTATATCTTATTCCACCACAACAAATATGGAGTTTTATTCTATAATTGTTGTCATAAAGACACCACTAAGCAAGCTCAAAGAATTCCACAGGCCTCTTCATGAAAAAATAGGGTCGTTATTAGACGGCATCAGGTCAGTCACCCAGGAAATGGTCTTAAAGAGGCAACTATTTAAAAGAGTAAAAGGGCACTTGAGGATATGAAGCCTACAATAGACATATTTCAGAGTAGCAGCCGCGTTAGTCTGTATCCACAAGAAGAAAAGGAGTACTTGTGGCACCTTAGAGACTAACAAATTTATTTGAGCATAAGCTTTCATGAGTGAGCTGTAGCTCACGAAAGCTTATGCTCAAATAAATTTGTTAGTCTCTAAGGTGCCACAAGTACTCCTTTTCTTTTTACAATAGACAAAGACTCTATCTCTCTCTGTTTCTTCTCTTGGAACAATCATATCAGAGCAACCAAGGTTTGGGAAAGGGTGTTTCAGGGCCAGGGAGCAGTAGGGGTTTTCCTAGTGGAAATCCATTTCAGAGCTTATGCTGATCCAAGCAGCATTCATATGAAGTCCAGAAATCCAGATGAGATTGTAATGCTATTTTATTAGTGAGAACGGAATGAAGATAGTTCTCAAACATTTCACTACATCTGTCATAAATATAAAGGGAAGGGTAAACCCCTTTAAAATCCCTCCTGGCCAGAGGAAAACTCCTCTCACCTGTAAAGGGTTAAGAAGCTAAAGGTAACCTCACTGGCACCTGACCAAAATGACCAATGAGGAGACAAGATACTTTCAAAAGCTGGGAGGAGGGAGAGAAACAAAGGGTCTCTGTCT